TGGTCAGATGCTGGTCAGGAGCATGCACCAAATGACTAATACAATTTGGCTAGAGGAATGCATGCCCTTGCACAAAAAGGAGACAAGGCAATATGTGCCAACTATAGAGGAATAAGTTTCCTTTGCGTCGCATATAAAGTGTTATCCAGCGTACTGTGTGAAGACTGAAGCCAATGGTCAATGACATTATTGAACCATAACAATGCGGCTACAGGCCTGGCAAATCCACTATCGACCAAATTTTAACTATTGCCAGATCCTGGAAAAGATCAATGAAAAAACATGGACACATTCCACCTATTCGTCGACTATAAAGCTGCATTCTACAGACATCCCTATCCGAACATGGGTGTTTAAAGCCGCAGACATGTTCGGCATTCCAGGATAACCTTAACTGGAGCCCTTCAATACCGAACGAGGATTCAGACAAAGTGACAGTTTGCCGTGTGATCTTTTTAACATTCTGCTGGAAAAGGACATACGAGACGCAAAGGTGAACAGTAATGACACTCTGTACACCAAACAATACATGTTACACCCCTACGCCGATGACATTGATAAAATGGGTCGAACGTTGCGAGCGGTAACAGCCACAAAATGCGAAGGAGTGCCAAAGTGGGTCTGGCAGTAAATGGCGAGAAGATCAAGCTGATGGTATCAACGCGCAAGACGTCCAGTAGACTCGTATCAACTGTGGAACTTGAGAACTACAGCTTCGAGGTAGTCAAAGATTTTTATACCTCGATATCGCTATAAATAAAACTAATGACATCAGTTTTGAAATTCGGAGGAGAATAGTGTAGGCCCACAGATGCTATTATGGTCTAAGTAAGCAATTCAGCTCAAGAGGCATATAAAAGCGAGCCATCTGATGGATCACGCAGAAGGGGAAGGCAACGAATTCGATGGAAAGATCAAGTGGAAGACAAGACAACATTGCCGAATATGATCTTTCAAACTGGAAAAACTGCGCAAAAGACCGACGTGCCTGGAAATATTTTTTTAAGCGCGGCTTATGGAACGAAAGTTCTGTCACAAGCCAGCTAAGCAAGTAAGATACTACCCGTGCTATTGTATGGACCTGAAGCATGGGTATGGGAAGGCCACGAATCCGATGGAAATATCAAGTAGAAGAAGCATAGTCTATGGAATTGGAAATATCGTAAACTCCTGTCCTGTCCTGTCCTTCTCGAAAAGAAAGAAGATACAAAAATTTTTAAAAATATATTATCGTTGCTTGAAAAAAATGCAATACTAGTGTTTGATGTTTGTTGGAACAATCGTACGTTCGTTTGTGTTCGGTTCGTTATGTTTGCCGACAACACAAAAAATATGTGTCCAAACGAAGAAAAAAAATCCCATAAAATACGCAAAAATACACCACACAAACTCAATAAAAATACTAACAGCAACAACAACAATACAAAGCACTGACACAATCATTTCTCATTTCTGGCTTCGAAAACTCGAATAGTCTCGTTGTCGTCTTCGGCGTCGTCGTTGTCGTGCTATATACAAAGTGCAAAAAAAAAAATTGAAGAGTACTACAGCCACAAAAACACGTTGTGTTGTGTTTGATAGCTGTGCTTTATGGCTGTTGTCGTCGTCTTCTTCTTCTTCGTCACATACAACGTACAGGGCAAGATACTCTACAACCGAATTGCCCTGTCCGCATTCGTCTTGACCACCCCCGCCGCATACAATTTTTATCCAAGCGTCTGCTGTTGTTGTCTATATTCATTATTCGTACTCCCTCCCTCCTATTCCTTCTAAAATTGAAGTCAATGTTTATTTTTTCAATTTCATTATTTTATTTTTGTTAAATATTCTTTTGTTTGATATGTGACGAGTGGTGTGGTGTTGGTGTTTTAATGTTTATTCTTTTCTTCATCATTCCTTGTTGTTGTCGTTCACATTTCATTTATTACATGATGGATGTACAAGTATGTGTATGTGGAACTACTACACAGAGTACATTGAGTGGATATAAGTCGGTCGGACGGACGGACAAATGGACGTGCGTGCGAATTTGCGTGTATGAAATGATTTTTAATAAATCTCGTTGAAATAAAAATGCAAAAAAAAAAAAACAAGAACAACAAGAGAGCGGGCATCTGTTTTTTAAAAAAACAGCAACCTTCAAGACGTCGACGACTTTACATGTGTTAATAAAATACATTTACCCGCAGAAAAGAACAAGGAGGAGGAGAAGTAGGAACAGAACTGGAGAATTTTATCTCATCGAAAATGTGATAACATAAAAAAATGTTTCTCTGTTTTAGTACAAAGAAATGTGATTTAAAAAAACAATTAAATAAAAAAGCGGTAAACACTGAAATTAGCAGAAATGTAGCGAATGACAGCGACAATGCGTTGAAAACATCATGTTTTATTCTGTCAATTGACTCTCGCCCAAGTCTCTCTCTCTCTCTTATCTAGAACATGCCATCATCTCACACTCACTGTAGAGTGACATCGATAAAACAGCTGTTTAATTCTAATAGAGCAAGTAGACGCACAAAAGAAATTACATTTGAAGGATTTATGATTTAAGACAAAAGACGATTGAAAAAGTTATAAAAATAAGAACTTTAAGAACTGGAGCTACCGTAGAATATCGTTAAGATAAATCCGAGTATATTTTATTAACATTTTACAATTTTTTTAAATTTCCCTCTGTATTAAATAGTTGAGTGGTGGATAGAAAAAAGTTTGATGATAAATGGTTTGTTGTTGATAAGGCCGGCCATATACTTTATAGGCAGATGATTTCCTACAATCAGGCACTTAATAAAATAAAGGGTTATATATAGCAGAAGCCTACTCCCACCCACTTGCCAGTCGTAAGCACTCCTTGTCCCCATAAAAATATAGAAACACAATGGAAAACACAAGCAAAAGCAACACTTGGGTACTAAAAATCACCATCAAAAACGATCAGGAGTGTCGTAATGCTACTGATGTGAAAAACGCAGCGTGTAGGGAAACCCTACAGACAGTAGCAACACGAAACCCGAGGGAGAATTATCAGGAGAAAAGGAGACAAAAACGTAAGCGTCAGCAAATCGAGATGTACAAGAGTCAGAATGAAATCCGGAAATTTGACTAACAAGTAAAACACAAAACCGAAGGCTTTGGTACAGGCACATCCTCCAGTAGAGATGAAGATGGAAACATGATGACATATAGCGTGTTGAGGATCTGGAAGGAGCATTTTGCAAAGCTTCTAGTATCAAATAGGTTCTGGGATGAAGTAGATACCCCAGAATAGATGACGGCATTTATTGTATACCACCACCAAGCCAAGATGAGGTCAGAATATTAATCGGCTGAAGAACAATAGTAAAGCAGCAGGTGCAGATGGATTACCAGCCGAACTATTCAAGATCGGTGCAGCATGTACCAGCTGATTAGTACAATTTGGCTAGAAGAATGCATGCCCAATGATTGGAACCTCAGCATCCTGTGTCCCTTGCACAAAAAGGAGACAAGACAATATGTGCCAACTATAGGGGAATAAGTTTCCTTCCCATCGCATATATAGTGCTATCCAGCGTACTGTGTGAACGACTGAAACCAATGGTCAATGACATTATTGGACCATACCAATGCGGCGTCAGGCCTGGCAAATCCACCATCGATCCTGGAATAGATTAACGAAAAAAACATCGACACATTCCACCTATTCGTCGACTATAAAGCTGTATTCGATAGCCCTATCCGCTCCGAGGTGTTTAAAACCATGTCTGTGTTCGGCACTCCTGCAAAATCGATACGGCTATGCAGGATAACCTTAACCGGGCTCAAGATCAGCACTTAAAATCGGAAATGACTTCTCGGATTCAGACAAGGTGACAGTTTATCGTGTGACCTGTTCAACATCCTGCTGGAAAAGGTCATACAAGAGGAAAAGGTGAACAGAAATGGCACTCTGAACATAAAACAACACAAGAACATTGAGAGCGGTAACAGCTAACTTTGAACAAATTGAGGAATCTGCCAAAGTGGGTCTGGCAGTAAATGGCGAGAAGACCAAACTGACTGTATCAACTTGCAGCAAGGCGTCCAGTAGACTCGGACCAACTGTGGAACTTAAGAACTACAGCTTCGAGGTAGTGAAAGAATTTATATACCTTGGAACCGCCATAAATAAAACCAATGACATCAGTTTTGAAATTCGGAGGAGAATTGTGTTAGCCAACAAATGCAACTATGGTCTAGGTAAGCAATTCAGAAACTCACACTCAACAAGACACTGATACTACCCATGTTGTTGTATGGACCTGAAGCACGGGTACTTGCGCAAACAGATGAGGCAGCTCTTGGAGTGTTTGAGAGAAAAAAATCTCCGAAAGATCTATGGGCCGATCTGCGGCCGATGATGGCGAATATCGTCGTCGAATGAACTATGAGATGTACCATCTATTTTTGGACATCGACATAGTCAGACGTATCGAGCTGCAGACTAAACTACGTTGGCTAGGCCATGTTGTGAGAATGGATAAAGATGCCCCAGCGCAAAAGGCATATAAAAGCGAACCAGCTGATGGTTCACACATAAGGGGAAGGCCACGAATCCGATGGAAAGATCAAGTGGAAGACAACATTGCCGAACATGGTCTTTCAAAATGGAAGTACTGCGTCTGGAAATATTTTTTAACCTCGGCTTATGGAACAAATGTTGTCACAAGCCAGCTAAGTAAGTAAGTTAGACGTATTTTTCTCCTCAAGTAATTGAAGAGAGGTCTTTACAACAACCACAAAGTCACTGTTTGGTACCCTCTTTGATTCCAAGATTTGGTGCCTAATATTTCCCAATATTTTATAAAACCAAAAACAAAATTTTGCATTGAAAAAAAAAGAAACAAATCTAAATTCTAGAACTACAGAAGCTGGAAAAAAAGTACATCTTAGAGAGATAAAGCGCTAAAGGAAACAAAAAATTTAAAAAAAACTATTACTTAAAGTTTATGGAAAGGACGATATTTGCCAAAACTTACCTCTGATACAGATTCCTCATCCGATTCTGATAGATCCGTAACTGGCGGTGGATACAATTCCGTATCGGTATCGGAATTATCGCTGGTAATGATATTCTGCAATGCATTCGATATGGCATTTACAATGCCCACCGACGATGACAGCGACGATGAATTCGACGATGTTGATGTGGAATTTGAGCGGGAGTTGTTGGCAGCAACCGATGATGCGACAGCGGCACTTTTGAGTTTTTGTTTTAGTGCTGCTGCGGCAGCGACGGCGGCCGCTTGGGCACCTGCACTGGAGGAGGCACCAGCTCCTTTGGCGGCTGCAGCAGCGGCTGCCGCTGAACCAACCAGTAGCGGTAACGCCGAGGTAAATTTTAAATGGGCATCTTTCGATGAGCCACCGGCTTTCGCCGATGATGAGGCAGATGATAACGCTGATTTACCGGTTGTTACAGCCTGTTGCTGTATGGCTAAGGCGGCTGCTGCCGCAGCTGCTGAGGAGGATTTCTTCGAACGCGTTGAAGAAGTGGGGTTGTTGGATGCAGATGCCGACGCCGACGCCGATGCTGATTTGCTTGAGGTAATTGTGGGCACAGTACCAGTAGCCGTTGATGTGGCTGGTGAGGGTGGTACTGTATTTAAGGCTCCCAAATCAACATCCGCTGATGTTGTTGTTGCTGTTGATGCAGATGGTGTTGCTGATGCTGCAGAGGAGTTGGAGGATGCGGCAGCATTTGTTGGATTGGAATTTGCTGTTTTTGACATTTTATTGCCAGGGGCAGTGTTGCTGACTGCGGCGGGGTTGGATGCTACTGCTGATGATGACGACGCCACATTGGCTGTCGAAGAAGCTGATGACGCGGCGGATGTTGATGTGTTGGAATTGGTGTTATTAGTGTTGTTGTTAACTTTTAATTTGATTTTTGAGTTGGTGTTATTGTTGTTGTTAGTATTTTTCAATCTAGCAGCAGCGGCAGCAGTTGATGCCACACCACCAACACCGCTGTTGTCCAACAACAAATCGTTAGTTGTCGTTGTTGTTGCTGCGGCAGGTGTTATTGTATCAGTGGCGGAGGAAACAACTGTTGTTGTTGTTGTTGCGGAGGAGGAGGAATTTTGACGACCTGCTGCTGTATTGTTGTTGGTAGCATTGCCCTGACGTGAGGACTTTTTACCAACAGCGGCGGCAGGCGTTTGTTGTTGACTATTGTTGTTGTTAGTAGCAATGGTGGCGATTGTTGCAGCTACTGCAGTAGCTGCGGCCAATTTTAAACTATTATTATTGTTGTTGTTATTGTTTTTCTTATTTTTGTTAGACTTGGTTTGTGGCTGCTGCTGTGTTTCTGCTGCTTTGCTGTTGTTGTTATTATTTTTGTTCGAATTCGTCCCAGCCGTTGTTTTATTCAGGTTTTTGTTTTGATCATCTTTATTCATTTTCTATAATTTTTTTTGTATTAACAATTTTCTTTGTTGATTTGCACACAAAATTAAAAAAAAAATTGTATTGAATAATTTGTTTGTTATTTAGTATTGTTGTTGTTGTAATTTTTCACTTGAATCACTTTTGTTGTTTATTATTTTATATTTTTTTGTATCGGTATTCTATTGTTGTTGAACTTCTTTTAATATATTTTTTTTCAATTTTTCTTCTTCTTATTTGGATTTCAGAAACATTCTTTCAAAGCTCTTTGTTCACTTTTTTCTTCTTTTCTCTGGGAAAGGAAACATAACAAAAGAATTATTTTTTTAGAATGGGATGATGAGCGAGGGAGGGAGCGGTTAAGTTATAAACAACGCTAACATTAGTTTAACTCTGTTTAAAGCGGATGTCGACGAAATGAACGAAAAGGAAAAAGTCTTTACAAAGAAAAAAAGAATCGAAAACGAACGAAACACTCGGCACAATGCAAAGATGTACCGCCGACGACCGTAATCAACGAAAATTTACACAAGCAACAACAAATTGTTCGAATGAACGAACGACCGACCGAAAAACCAAAAACGAGTGAGAGAAACCGATAATAGCGATAAATGTGTAAAGGAGAAAGAGTAGCATATTTGTATATTAGCACTATAATAGAAGAAATAACAAAAAAACACTTTCGCGTTTTCTTTTTTTTAATATTTATTTATGGCTAATTTGCATACATAGTTAGTTGCCTTTTTGCCAAAATATTTTTCTTTTCAAATAAAAAAAAAAAAACAGAAATAATAAGCAACGTTGTATTAATTTCATTGGTGTGGTGAGGTGATGGTGAGTGCGTCGTAGAGTAAGGTGTGAACCCACAAACAAAAACGAAATTTTGGTATACAACTCCTATGGGATATTTTGGGTTTTCAACATTTATACGATGCAAGTCCCTTAATTAATAATATGTTTACATGAATATATTTTCCCACCTAAAAAAAACAATGACTCATCCATCTAGTCCCAAAATGAATAAATTATGCCAAGTAAAATAGTATATCTTAGTAGTCTTACGGAAGGCCAGACTCCGGAGAAAGGCGTTTAGCTAATAACTGTGCTGATAGACTACAACAAAATTCCCAACAGTTTTATTTAAATACCTACATCGATTGGACTATGTGACATGGTCAGAAGAAACCCAATAAGGAAAGTAGTAAAATCGGACTGGGTCGAATATAGCCTTCACCACTTTGGATATATTGTAAATATCGTCAGCTAAAATGCAAAAAGATGTAACTAACAAAAGCATAATCGTGTAGGAGAAGCCAAAAACTGTTTTGAATAAAAACTATAAACATGTCAAAAAAAGTACGCCCGGCAGGGTGATATTGCATATGACGAATAATAGACTATATTTTTTTTAACAAATTTAGTTTAATGGCAGTCATAATAATTAAGTAAAAAACGTGAATTTTTTGTTAGTTACGCCTTTTTGCATTTATCAAATAAACCCACTTGTAGTTACGTCTTTTTGTTTTTTCTTAATAGAAGCTCCTTTTTTGACCGCAGACGTGTAAAACTTTGTCAACACATGTATTTTATTGACATTCACAATATTCATTCAAAAAGTCAATTTTCAATTTTTTTTGTTAGTTACGCCTTTTCGCATTTTAGCTAACGATATGTATCCTTACAATTGCATGTCAATGTTCCCTCGAAGGAACATACTCATGCCTTTCAACAACCCATGCTAAATTAAATTTCATTCGGACAGATTATTGTCTGCGTACCATGGGACAAATTTATGGAAAACGTTTTATAACAAAATTAATACACGCTATTCTGTACGCCGCACTCTTAAAAATTTAATTTAATCTGAACGGATATTCACGAAACTTAACACACCTGATTCTAGACTTAATTCAGTGCGCTATGCCAAATTTTGTGCAAATCGAGGGATATAAGGGGACTTTGTTGCACCATTTACCTAAAATCAGACGAAAATATATATGGGAGTTATATCTAAATCTGAACCGATTTTCACGAAATTCAACACAAATCTTTCTAGACTTAATTTAGTACGCTATGCCAAAATTCGTGCAAATCGGAAGATATATGAGGAATTTTGGTGCATCATTTACATAAAATCTTGGATTACATGTGAAATAAATTAAATGAAATAAAAATCGGACGAAAATATATATGGGAGCTATATCGAAATCTGAACCGATTTTCCCGAAACTCACTATTCATCATTTTAGACTCAAATCAGTACGCTATGTCAAATTTTGTGAAAATTTTCAAATGCACAATCGATTGGACTTTATATCCTTCGGTGACTTATTGATGTGATGTGTGTTATGGTTCGTAAAAATCGGTTCGGATTTTGATATAGCTCCCATATATATTTTTGTCCGATTTTTGGTAAATAAATATATATGAAAGCTATATCAAAATCCGAACCGATTTTTACGAACCATAACACACATCACTCTAGACTCAATTCAGTACGCTAAGTCAAATTTTGTGCAAATCGAAGGATATATAGGGACTTTGGTGCACTATTTACCCAATTAGAACATGAGCGGGTTCCAGAAAGAGCACCTTTATCAGTAGTTGTGTTGATTTGATTGTGGTGGTGGTGTGTGGCTGTATTAAAACCAATCCTCCTCTCTTTCCAGAAGGAATAAATGCCCTGTACAAAAACTTCAACATTTATAATTGTCTATTTTCAAGTATTTTCTGAAAGCCCCATCTGCTACGACTGTCACCAGAATTTGAGAAACTTCAAAAATATCTGAAGTTTTGCATTATCTTTATATCAGTAGAGCTCCCCAGACAAAATTTGAATGTGTTAGCGAATCTAACTTATCAGTTTTGTTGGTGATTGTGCAGAATGAAAACATGGAAATAATGCTGAGTCATCATTTGTTTATAAATCTTGAAGAAACATTTAAAACGTTTGCAATTCTAGGAATATAAAACAATATTTAAATATCACTTTGACATAATTTTTAAATATTGGTCTGTTCCCGTACTGCAAGAATCTACTAGATTGTACTATTTTCTTCGATATCATAAAGAAAAATTCGTTATCGTAGTAAAAAGTAGTACATTCTTGCAGTACGGGAACAGACCATATGTAATTGGATACCCAGACGCTATAATATTCCTATGACACGATCACACGATCCTTTTCTACTAGTTTAATAAACATATGACATATGATGATCCTGATCGGATCCTGTAAATATAAGTAGAACAAGTTGAGTTTAAAATATATAAAGAAATGAATAAACCTATATAAATAAATATACGCCATTATACTTCGCAATAAGTTCATGTCCTTGATATCTCTTTGTTGAATTGAAACTAATTGTATTTCTGTCTATATATGATCAATGTTCAGTTAAATAGATGTCTGCGCCATTATAACTTCGCATTAAGTTCATATCCTTGATATCTCAAATTTAACCCGAATAGTGCTGTAATTATTTTTTCGAATTGTGGGACGAAACTTTCAGCATCTATAGATTGTGGGTCACTGAATTCAAAAATTTGATTTGTATCCTTTTTTCTTATCAAGATAATCGACAGGATCAATTTTTGGGCTGTGACCGTATGTTCACACTAAGCACTGCTCGGGTACAGATTTTTAGATGATTTATTGATCGTATTATGAGTGTGATCATATGGTCACATTTAAATCGTATAATACACATCAAGCATTTAAGTTAGAATATTTCCTGTAGTATAGCAGCAGTTATATTCCATTGATATATAGCAAAATTTAACTGAGTTGTGAATTGGGACCTTTGAAAATTTTGCAATTATGAGCCTCTGATATGATATTCACATTCTCCATAAAAAACTGTGTACATATTCTAAAACATAAATAGAACAAGATAAAAAATCATATAAGATTCATATGTTAATTTATATTACATACAAACATTTATATAAAATGATTTATATTTTTTTCTTCCTGAAGTTTCCTCTTCATTTCCCCAGTAGACATTTCCTTGCTCCGTATATTTTATTGCATTGCATTTAAGTTATTGTATAAGGCCAATAATTTATGATATTTATAACGTCTCAAATTTTTCATACAATAATTCAAATTTTTTACTAAAATTGTGCATTAATTTGCATTTTTTATTTTAATAAAAATGCCTCTTCTTCTTTGGGCAAAATGACTTGGTGTATAAGCAGCAGCATCAGCTGATTGTTTGGCTGTCAAAGCCATGCCTGCCTGCATGCATTTACACAGGGTTGTACTTTCAACGTACAACTGAGCAATTTTGTTTAGGCAAGAATGACATGAAAGAGCATGAAACAACATAACAATATTGCATATTTAAAACATTAAATGTTAATAAAAATATTTTTATTATTTTTTGTTTAATAAAATTGCCATTTCATTTTACAAAGGCCACTCACTCACACTACACTCTCACATTTATTTTATTGTACTATCGCTCTTTCTCTTGGTCATCATGCCTCCCATCCATATTATTTTTTTACAAATGACGATGACACAAATGAATACCAGTAGAAAACAGAAATGAAAAATGGATAATTCTCGTACAACGATATATTTATGAAATGCATTTCTAATGAAATTAAAATAAAAAAATTATAAATAAAAAAGGACTGCAACAGCAAATTAAGCCAAAGTAATAAAAAATTGAAAAAAGCACGTACAGAAAAAGTCATGAAAACTCAAGGAATTTCTGGCAATTACGATAAACGAAATAACCCCAATGAAAAGGAAAAAACCTGGTACCCCGTCAACTAAGCCACAAATGAACTATGTGGAATGGAGTGGAGAGAGAGCGAGAGCTATTTTACATTGAAATGGAAGAAGAACAAAGGCAAGCAGGCGGCAGTCTCACTTGGAATTAATGATTTTCATACTTTTGGTGTGTGGTGTATGAAGAACAAAATTTGGTTTTTCCTTTTCGTTGTACGGAACGGAAATAATGCAATTTTTGTCCAGAATGTATCTGGAGGAGAAGGAGACGACTTTGTGGTCGCCATCAATATAATTAGGAGACTTGAAATTTTTTCTACATCTGAATAATCGGCAAATAAATATTTGGTAGTTTCTTTTTTGTGTTGCCTGCCTGCCAGTCAGCACACACACCACTTTGAGTACGGCGAAAATGAAATAAACCCAACTCACATCCACTCAACGGACACAAACACACAGTCACACAAACATTTCCTCGGCACACAACACAATTTTTTCAAACACACGATGATAATGGATATGGCAACGATTACGGGCTACGACTCCGACAACAACAATGACGACGACGGCTACACACCAACCGACCAGCATACAAAGAGAAAGAGACGACGAAGACGTGCAACGAAATTGAACTCGAAAAGGAATTGAAACATGAACGACGGAGACGACGACGATGGATAGATGGTGGTAATGGTGATGGAATGGATGATTAAAGGGGCGTGTTGGCAAAAAGGGCGTTATAAATTCTTATGATTTTTATTATTTAAATATATATATATAACAATATATTATTATTTATTTTTTCACGCGATTGCCACTTTCTCTTTATTAATACATATCACTGAAAAGGCATTATTCAAATTTTTTTGTTTCATCATATAATTCTGTGCTGCTTAAATTAGAGATTGTGGCGACGACGACGTCAAAATTTTTTTTCTTCACATCACACACCAGCAGCTCTGGCTGGCTGGCTAGAGCAGACACACAAGAAATCAGGTTTTCATCAGGCCTTTCATTTTCACATTTTTTCATTTGCTTTTTTCCCCGACATTTTTCGATTCTTTTTGCAAATTATATAAATTTATTTGATATTGTGTGGCTTTGGCGTTCCGAAGGGTCATAATTTTTATTGCACAATTATGAGAATTTTTGTTAATTATTCACCAAAATTTTTTCAAGAATTTTCACGATGTGCTAACGAAACTTCAACGAAATTCATTTACACACACTTTACACCGCGATATTAACGAAGAGCAGTAATACCATTTTTGCGGCGAATTTGTCATCGTACGGCGACATTGAAATGTATTTCGCGCACAGAGTTGCCCAATCGAGTAGCAGGGAACGGCACAAAGCCAGCCAACACAAATCAACACTGGGGGCACATCATTAAGAACACAATAAGGCCAAGTAGAAGAAGACGGCGACGACGACGAAAAAAACACTCTTCTTTCGAACTGAGGGGGTTTCGCAATCTCCGCAAGAGACAAAGACGGGCGGACACAGGCACAAATGTTTCAAGAACTCATTAAATGCCAAAAAAATTTGTTCACATTTCACACATTTCCAATTTCACACGGTATTTAACTTCCTTTCGCGAACATTTAATGTATTTCACTGTATTCTCTTTTTCCGCAGAACATTTATGTTCTACTTTTTCCATTTCATTTAACGCTTTTTTGGAACTAACCTCAATTCAATATGCGAAAACGCGTGTATTCTTTGTTGTGAATTAAAAGTGACTGAGTTTTGACTGTTTTTCGCTGTTTCTCACACACACGCACACATACACTCTCTTTCACACACAGTTGCCTTTTTTCGTCATCTGACGACTGACTCTTCCTGGCAAAGCGACAAAGAAAAGAAAATTTTCGATCTGTCGTCTGTCTGCCTGCGCTACAATACAATGTGTTGTCTGAAGATTAGAAGAATAGCACAACGTTTTACCATCGAAACTTTATCGGATTATTAAAGCTTGA